CCCCCCGCCAGCCCCTCGGGGCTGATGAGTCCTGCCCGAGGGACAGACGTGGTCAGTGGCTGGGGACATGCTGCTCCTGGGCTTGTCATCACACCCCGACCCACCTCCCCCAAAGCCAAGGGGTGTGAGCGTGGAGGGAGGACCCTGAAGTAGGACAGCCCCAGAGCTGTGATGGGCACAGACGGGTGTGGACCTGCTGACGTGGCTTTGGGCAGGTGTCACTGGTGATGGGAACACACCTGAGTTGATAACGGTCTCCGGCTCAGCGCCTGCCTCCAGACTGGCCCGGTTTATGGTCCGGCCGGCCACATCAGTCCAATAGATCATCTTCTCCCGGCAGTCGTAGTCAATCCCCACCACGATGGAACCCTGCCAGGGTTGGGAAACAACACAGGGTGAAGTCTTGCCTGGGCCATGGCCAAGAGGCTCAATGAACATCTTTATCCCACCAGCCGACACTGGGAGCTGCCCGGGGCACTCTGCAAGATGCAGCGATGGGGAATGATGCTCAAATCCCTTCTCCCTGACAAAACCCCACGCTGACAGGCTCCTCCTGCCCACCCCCGGCTCAATCCTGCAGCAGAGGGCTTTTTTGGCCAGCTCTTGCAGGCACACACCCACATCCAGATGGGTTTGAAACCCTTCAGCTCAAGGAGAGACTGTTCCAACAGTGAAACCAGCCTGAGGAACCACCTTCAGGGAATACTTGGCAAGGTGTTTCAGTTCCTCAGGGTGCAGGGAGGGTCATGGCCCAGCTTTCAGCGTTCCTCTCCCTCGGTCTGGTCTGGCTGCAGATACACATGGCCATGCTCCAAGGAGGAGACCAAGAAAGGGAAAAAGCAAGTTTGGAGCAGAGATGTGCAGGTGGCAGCCCAGGGCCTGTGATCGATGGCCGGGGGAGCTCAGCGACCATCCCTGCTCCTTCCTTTTGCAGGCAGCTCCAGGTTGTGACCTGCCCCTCTGTGGAGGAGCTGGAGGAAGAGGCGAAAGTGTGGGCACCACAGGAGAGAAAGGATCTAAAGC